TCCTTCAGTACTCTTTTTTCTTTGGCTGCCATATTCAAACTGACATTTGGTTTCATTTATCATCAAACAGACCTCTCTCTCTCTCTCTAGTCAAGCCACAAGGGGAGGAAACCATCTGCAGTTTTCAGCTTCTATTATAGCTGAAGATCCGTTCTTGTGGACCGGCTTTCCCAGACAAACGGCTGGTCTTAGCTCTCTCTTGCATTTAGAAAAAGAAGCAAAAGCTAGTTGGCATTACCTGATTGCAAGGATGCTTGCAGCTGCTGTCCCACTCATTCTACTGGTCAAATCAAAATAAATAATTCTTGCTTCTAGATTGCTTACGTATATGTGTACGGCCAACAGCTGAGCTGCTAGCTTTTCTCTTGGCAACAAGAAGCGTTAATGGAGGTCTAAAATTGTTTATAACATAGTATTCTCATTACACGCCTTAAATTTCTGTACAGTGACGCATGCCAAAACGTAACTTGTGGGCATAGAAGGGTATCTCAGTTCTGTTAAAACTAGTACAAAAAATAACGGTTTCTTTTGATTAGAAGTGGAAGCAAAGTGTCTATTTCTTTTGCTTCTCATTTGTGCGTGGATAGAGCATTATTGAACTAAAAGTTTGCTGAAGGCGACTCAAAATTTGATGATTACGTAAAAACTGTTTATGTATCAGGAGACACTATTAGATAATGACCACCCCGTACTAAGTAGAGAGCAATCACACCAATTATTTTGTTTGGGATCAAAATAATTGCGTTAAATTTCCTATTTTGATTTAGAAGATTAAATTAAATCAGGTTTAATTTGTAATTGGTGACATGATTTATTTAAAAGAATGAGACTTGCATCAATTCATGAATTGAAAGCTCTTATGTTAAATCTTTAATTTGAATTAAGAAATTAAATTAGAAAGATTGATCCTTTTTAATATGGGTATCGAAAACATATCTACGTCTTGGATTTTTTTTTTTTTTTTTCTGGTTTAAGACTATGATCATCAAACCCGCATGAGCGGTCAATTCGTTCCAATTTGGGTCTTAGGCAGCATTTGGCATTCCTTAATGTAAGGACTTTTCTCTTTTTTGCTGTTAAGAATTCATTATTTATAAGGGGCATTTTAACTGCAAAAATGAAATTAGTCCTTGCCAAATGCAGCCTTAATCTTAAATAATCAAGTTAGGCCATAATCGAATACAATAGTGTGGAAAATGCATGTCTTCCAACATACTCAAAAAAACAACTCTCCCCAAACTACCTTAACACCACTCCAGATGCTCATCTTTTCTGCCGCAGACTCTCTTTGTCTTAATTAATTCCCTAAATCAATGCTTGTTTCTCTCTGATTGTGTGGGCTTTTTGGCAGGTATCTGTGATTCCCGTTTTGGGGTTGCTTTTATGGTCCACAAGCAACATATCTGTCTCTCCTCCTAATCAAATAAGCTTCCCCCTACTATTAACTTTGGAATTATGTGGATGCATATTTCATAGACAATGTCCTCACGCATGCCACACTGCTGATGATCACAGTCCTTTCGCCAGATTCAGAAGCAAGATTTGCTTTGAAAGCCTTCTCCCAAGCCTTGTGTTATCACATCCATTAACAAAGTGTAATTGCTTTGGCTTTCTTGCAGCCCACACAAATTACTAATTAAAATCTCATCAGTTATCCCCAAAATAAACAAACCCATTAAGATATTAAAGTTTGTTGGCACTACCTAAGGACGATTTTCTCCGATTTGGAGGATCACTCTGAGTCAATCCCGTATCTTGTCTCTATTTTCTGACACCCTTCTTGTCATGAAAAAATAAATTAGAAAACAAAGAGAAAATTCAATGAGCTAAGGATTGGTCATTAGTTTAAGTTTCATTCTTTATTTTATAAAGATTGTTAGAGATGATAAGTTATTAATTTTTAATTTCTAGTGTTGTTGGAATAGGGTTCAGATCATGGGAATTCCGCGCCATAAATAAGGTGGTTACCCACATGGCCATCCCCATCTTTGGATAGACTTTTGAATTTTTTTTTACTTACGTAGATGTCCTCTGAGCTTCTAAACTTTGTCGGCCCAGACGGTCCATTCATATTAACTATCAGCTCCATGTGGCCTATAGCCGACGGAACAATACTGTTCGCTCTTTTGTCCAAATTTGGTCTACAAAAGAGGCTCTTATCTGCCAAAGTGTCAGCATATGCAGCTATCCCTTCTGAACCATCCGATTGGAATGCGATTTCTGAGATGTCTAGACATGAATTCCCTTTTCAAAGATCTGCAGCACTTTCAAAATAGGCTGCATATCAGGACTTCCTTGTTCAACAAGGACTCTAATGGAAATGGATGTTGGAAGAAGAAAGAGAGAGAGAGAGAACCAATGAAATTGATTTGCAAGTCATGGCCCACCAATCAATATTTTTCAGTGGTTTTGTTAGACACATTGGGCGGTGTAAGATAACCTATTAAGACCAAAACAGAGTGAAACCTCTTGTATCTTAGTGGGAAAAGGAGACCTGGTAAAAGCCTTATTTTAGAGTAAGGTTTTCAATGAGTTTTCTCATTCAAAGAAGTCCTAAGTTGATTACATATTCTTGCTACAAAAGTTAGGGTTTTTTGTGTACCTTTGTGTTGTCCCCCTGGTAGAGGGACAAATCATTTGACTCCATGTTAAGAAAGACCCAATGCTCAAGAACTGGACCATATGGGTCATGCTTGGAGCCCCTGAGAAACACAAAAAGAGAAAACAAGAGACAAGATGCAGATCAGATGGTTTTGATTAAGCAATCAAGATAACAGCCTTACAGGGGGTCTTCTATAAATGTGAACAAGGGTCCCGTTTTGTTGATTCTTAGGACCGGCTACTATCCAAAAACCCCACCAAAATGGGATTTTATCATAATTGATCATTTATCCCATATTCTATGTGTCTTAGACTTGATCCCACCGAAAGGGTCCCTTTTTTTTTACAATTTTGGACATCATGTTTCCACTTTCATAGTTAATCTAACAAATCATTAGACATATATGACTCTAACCCTTTTTGGTTTTTGTTGGGTATAGTTGATGCAAATTATGAATTAATAGAGATGTTAGAATTATAAAAACCAAGGGGAAAACCATTTTTTTTTAATGTAAAGAGAAAGAGGTAAATTAATAAGTGAAATCCTTGTCAAGCATTAAATGTGTACTGCGTTTTTGGGGGGTGGGAGTGGGGATTAGGTTAATTGTCTAGAAAAGTGGTTTGGAAATTATTAGTTATATTAATGCATTAATTAAATATGAATTACTTAAACCTCTATTGTGCTTTCAGACAGATAGTTTAACCACCTCATACTTTGACCTCTCCAAATTCCTCCCTCGATATTTCTGAGAAATTATATAAACAGAACCCTCACACTAGTTTGACATTAAGAACCCAACTGAAAATAATGATGTGATGCTTTAAACACTTGAAAACCCTTAATTTTCCCATGGATGATGATATTAGAGTGTCTATTTACTGAAATATCCCTTGAAACTCTTTTCTGATATAAGCACTGTGGGGTATTCTGGTCATAGGCACTCCAATATTTGCATCCATGGGCAACTTAAAAATTTTGAAGTATTTAAAAGCATGACATCATTATTTTTGGTAGGGTTCTTATATATTTTCTCCTAAAATGTTGAGGGAGATATTTGGAGAGGTCAAAGAAACATTTATCAGAAAACACAGAGGAGGTTTAAATAATTTACCTCATGAATTAATTAATGTTGATATACTATGTTGTAATGCATATTAACAAGTACTGACAGATGCATTCTTAACTTCCAAGAAATAGTATAATAGGATATCTAAAAGTGCTTTACTAATTATGGGGTTATCACATTTTTAATGCATATAAATAAAACCTAGTTGACCCCATTTCCACCAGTCAGAAAAGTGACTTTCTGCTGTTAAAAGTAAGGAAAATGATTTTGACTATTGGATATATAGTAGATCAATATCAATTAACCAAGGGCTGACTCACCCTTGTTTCCAAAAGCAAAATCATATAATCAGGACTATTTTACTGATATAGCTGAAGTTTCAAGCACCATTCATACAATATTGCTGATGATGAATTCAGTTTGACTATGGTAATGGTCATCGGAATCAGACACACCAAACCAGAGATGAAGATGGCATATGGCAATACCATGAATGAATAATCTAGTACCGTGGCATTAGTGGCTTCAGACAGAAAGGCAAGGTGCACTCATAAGGCCTATTTCAACAGTAGAAATCTGTCTAGTTTCCTGTACACCCACAGAGACATACACACATCAAAGACACATCCACCACTTTGTGTCCATGCTTCAATGGTTCTCCCCATGAGGCCCATCTGAGCACAACTCCAACTTACTGTAGAGCCACAGAAATTCATACACAACACACTAAGGAGACGCTCATTTACTTCTCTTGTCTCATCATCATCATCATCTTTTACTCCCTCCCTCCTGCAACCATGGCTATCAAGTTCTAATCATAGAAGGGAAAAGAGTAGAGGGGGGATGCTAATATCATTATCACCAATGCCAAGGGCATCTCTGTCTTTTCACGTGGGGGTAGTTTGATAACTGTACAACCTTACATGGACACGTGTAAATTGAAGAAATGGTGAGAATGCCACCTCATCAAAATCTACCCCCCTAGAGTATTAAAAAGGTAGCTTAGCTAATGGTTTGAGGACATTAAAAGAGCTAATGGTTTGATAACTGTACAACCTTACATGGACACGTGTAAATTGAAGAAATGGTGAGAATGTCACCTCATCAAAATCTACCCCCCTAGAGTATCAAAAATGGTAGCTTAGCTAATGAAGTAAACCAGTCCAAGAACTTTCTACTTCAATCAATTTGTCATGGAATAATCACTTGGTTTCCTTCTCACTCCATTTCTTTCCTGCCTATTTGGTTTTGTCTTCATGCAAAAACCCCGGCGACCTCCTTCTCACCTCCATCTACGGTGGGTCCTCTGATCTCCTTATTTATACCGATTGTACTGCCATGCTTTTCATGCACACCTTTCCTGCAACTCCCTCTTCCACTCCTTTCATTTAAGCTTAAAAGAATTCTACTTCTCCACGGTTTCTCTCTCCCCCTCTTCCTTTCTTATTCATGGCTCCGCTTCTCTCTCTTCTTCTCATCCTCATGTTCTCTCCAACCAATAATGCCCAGTCGCCACCTTCACCTGGCTACTACCCCAGTTCAAAGTTCAGTTCGATGGGCTTCTATGATGGCTTTCGGAACCTCTGGGGTCCTCAGCACATGAGAGTAGACCAGAACGCATTGACAATTTGGCTTGACAGTAGCTCAGGTGGCCTCTAGTGTGTCTCATAGTTGTCTGATCTTGATTTTGTTACTGGGTATCTGAAATTTCTTCCTTTTCCTGTTTGATGTCTGAAAACAGGAAGTGGGTTCAAGTCACTTCGCCCATTTCGTTCTGGTTACTTCGGTGCTTCCATCAAGCTCCAACCTGGTTATACTGCAGGAGTGATAACTTCTTTCTATGTGAGAACTAACCCAGTCGACTGGGCATTCATCTGTTGTTTGTGATCATTATTCTACTCTACTGTTTATTAATTAACTTTAATTACTTTCTTTCAATTCTGTTTCTTTCCAAAAACACGACTAAATATGTATGCATATTAGTATTAGCTAGTCTATCCTGATTCCTGAGTTAGTCTTGAATTTCTAGCTAACTGTGAATGAATTCTTCGATCGGGGAATGGCATGCAGCTATCGAACAATCAAGACTATCCTGGCTACCACGATGAAATCGACATCGAGTTCCTAGGAACGACGTTCGGGAAGCCTTATATATTGCAGACTAACGTATATATCAAAGGAAGTGGAGACGGGAGGATTATAGGAAGAGAGATGAGGTTCCATCTGTGGTTTGATCCAACACAAGATTTTCACCATTATGCCATACTATGGAGCCCCAATGACATTATGTAAGTAATCTTTTCCAGTTTATATCTGCATCTGCATCCATGAACAGTTTATATTGATTACTGATAAAAATAATTTGCATATATAGAAAAGGCAATATTGATTACTAAACGCTTGATTAATATATAAGCTGTAAAAAGAAAATAGTTGCTAATCCCCACGATAATGGTGCTTTCACTAAGATACTAACTAAAATATAAACCTCTCTATCAAGAACTCTTATTTTCTCTAGATTTCTGCATTTGGGTATAACTCTAAATTTCTCCAAGTTCATTATTTTCTTCAATGGAAGCCCAATGTATGGTCATGTTTAACTGTTTCTGAAAATGACAAAAAAAAAGATATATATTTTTTTCACCAAAAGGTCCAAAACCACTTTTCTTAATTTCAAAGCTTGTTTATATAATATACAACTTTATCTAATATCTAGAGAGTTAATAAAAAATAATAATCAAGTAATGGTGGAGAGTGGAGAGAAGGCCTAACTAATGAATGGGTATGTGGTTTATGATGTGATGAGCTCAGATTCTTTGTGGATGATGTGCCCATAAGGAGGTACCCCAGGAAGAGCGAGGCTACCTTCCCCACAAGGCCAATGTGGGTGTATGGGTCCATATGGGACGCTTCATCGTGGGCCACAGAAGACGGAAAATACAAGGCAGATTATCACTATCAGCCCTTCATCGGTAGGTACACCAATTTCAAAATAAGTGGATGCTCCAGCTCCTCACCAGCCTGGTGTCGCCCGGTCTCGGCCTCCCCGAATCCCTCAGGAGGCCTGAGCGGCCAACAATACTCAGCCATGAGATGGGTCCAGAGTAACTACTTGGTTTACGACTACTGCAAGGATCCAAGGAGAGACCATTCACAAACACCTGAGTGCTTTGCTTAATTCAGCTCATTCATATATACACACACATATATATACGGATCGAAGTCACCTTTAATTTTTATTACTTCTCTTATTATAAGCTCTTGGGGCATCTTGAGATGGATCCCGCTTGCCAACTTTGGATATAAGGGTAGCTGCGCGTCCAAGGCTCCAGGATGTGAAAGTTTGTTATATAATTGTTTACTTGATTTTATGTTGTTGTACATTAGTTAGAATTCATTACAGTGTGTTACTGTGGAGAGAGAGAAAGTGTGTTTGTGTGTGAGAGAGAGAGAAATAAGAAAGGAGAAGGGAGATGGGGTGATGCAATGCAACCAAAGAGATTGAATTGAAGGGTGTATTCACTTGTGATTTCTAAATAAAAATAAAGCTCAAATGTTTTACTATTTAATATCTGTATTTGATGCCATAAAAGATACAGAACAGTTCAGCAGATCATGGTTTGACCTTTGTAAGGTATTAAGCATGGACATAAGATCAGTTTCTGAGGAATTTCTCACCACACACTCTCTGGTTTGAAGAACAATTCAATGGTTTTCAATCTTCTGTAGGTCAGACTTCCCTATTTGTACAAATGACCCTGTTAAGGTTATGTGTGTACCATTTATTTCCTTGTCCTACCCACCTATTTCTTCTATCAAAGATCAAACCTAACCATATTTATTTATTATTTTCTGGTAAAATAAAAGAAATAGAAACACAACATGCGTGCCAGTACTAATTGCAATTCTAAAGGGATGCACAAAGAACCGCGGTAGATAGGGTATGGAGTTGACATTGAATTGTTCAATCTCTCTCTCTCTCTCTCTGAATTTTTGATGGTCAAATCTAAGCCTCTAAATATCCATAAAAGTATCCTCAAACTTCTCCACATACTCAATGGTTTGAATTTTAATTTTTAAGAACTCTACCATATCAGGGCCGTTACTCCTCAGTATAATTGGATCAATAGATCAACTTCAACTGATATGGTTGACAAGATTTATTTCAAAATGTTTGGCTTGGCCCAGTAATTATATATTGGGCCCATTTTGGCCTACAATTTTTAAGTACTTAAAAGCCCATTATCACAAGTCTGAACTCCGAGGTCAACCACTACTAGTAATAAATAAAGACATGCAGCAATAAATGATTAAATATGCAGCCATTAATCATAAAATATATTTAGTATGTACAACTTCGAATAAAGAAATGTAACAATAATTCCCCTTAGAAAAACAAGAAATGCAGCAATAAATTATGCAATAAATGATTAAATATGCAGCCATTAATCATAAAATATATTTAGTATGTACAACTTCGAATAAAGAAATGTAGCAATAATTCCCCTTAGAAAAACAAGAAATGTAGCAATAAATTATGCAATAAATGATTATATATGTAGTCATTAATTATAAGATATAGATTGCATGGACAACAATGGATAAACAAATGTGAGCCCATCCAAGACTACCTCAGGGTGGTTTAAGTCATTTAATAAAAAGAAATTATTATTTGATCAACAACATCAAACTAATTAAATCTGAGTCTTATCTAATCATCTTTTTTTTTTATGTATATCATAGAACCAATTTGGATTTATGCGAGGAGAACTAAATATAAAGGAATAATGAAATAAGACATATGTAATTGACCCCATGAAGGTTTTGGGAGAACCATTGTCCTTTTAGTACTATATCCTTTAATTGGTAAATTAAGGACAATCTTATGAGCCTCACCATTCAATTGGTATATTATGAGGTGTACTATATCTCTTTAATATAAAACAAATGATTATTGTAGTTATATGAGATTCGATTTATGCAATTTTCACCGGAAACGATTGATTAATGGTTGAGACCCCAGTATATGCGCTCTGATTGTCAATAATAGAAATTAATGTCGTTTTATCATACTTTTTCTATAGTTTCAGTCTTTTCCAAGGTGATTTGTCTATATTCCAATTTCAAAAGCTGGGCTTAACCTGACCTGACCCGAACTTCTCCATGCCTGGCTCTGAACCTGCACCGCCCCATGAGCAATATTAATTAAGTGGAGATGGCAATTTCCACCAAACCCGGTGGGTACTTGCCCCTACTTGCCTTGAAGGGATAGTTTTTTTTTTTTGAAAAATAGATTTTTGATGGGATGGGTTTTAGGATTTTATAACCTATCTAGATATGAATAGGTAGGGGTGTCGATTGGACTAGATTTGGTCCAATCCGATCTAGTCCAATGTGAGTCCATTACAAATGGATCAGGTCCAATCCAATGAATAATTTGGACCAGTCCAATTTAATGTTTGGACTGTCCAATTTGTTCAAATTCATTTTAATTTAGTTTGGTTTTAACCCAAATTTGGCCCATTTACACCTATATTCTTATCTTATATCAATGGATCGGATATTGGCTTAATCCAACCAAATCCAATATAAATATATTACGGATGGACCAGGTCCAGTCCAACTTAATAAATATTTTGGACCGGATTGGTCCAATCCACTATGTCTTTTTGGTCCATCCAATCCATCCAAATTGATTTTGGACTGGACCGGTCCATCGACACCCTTATGAATAGGGTACAGTATTAGGCTAAATCTGACCTTCTCTGACCTATATATTGAATTTATTAAAATACCCATGATGCTAAGACTGTATTGTTGTAAGGCACATGTTCAAACTTATGTATCAAGTGTTGAAATTAATGACACTTTGAATCTTGTGTGATGGATAATTGATGGTTTATGTATTTTTTACATATTTCAATTAAATAATTGGAAATTTTGATGTTTATTCATGCTATTTTTATTTGTATATAACAAGAAATTAGATCTGGGTTTTATGTGCAATTTACCACATCCTCAAATTTGGGGAGGGTTTGGATTTTGAAATCGAACCCATTGTAGATTTTGAAGAGGATACGGGTTGAGAGGTTCAGAGATATAATAAGGGTCTAGAATTAACAAAACCTTCCTCGAATTCGCCCCATTACCATCCCTACCAAAAAGGGTTTGTACCCTATTAGTTCCATCCAAACCTCTAATTATGATTGAACTGAAAACCCAATTAAGATTCGTATTGGATTGATTTATGCCTGGTCATACTGAGCTGAAACTTAGAAAACACACTCCGAGTTTATTTGCTCTTGAGTCTTGAGTCTTGAGAGGATACCGACCATTAATAGAGGATATTGTCTTCTTTCTCCCAATCAACAAGACCTCTGACCTCTATAATTTTGGTTGTTGAAGTGGTGAGAAATGCTTCAGCACTCAATAATGCAATGCTAATTAAGTGCTGAGAAATGCTTCAGCACCTCTAAACCTCTTATCAATTGTAAAAAGGTGAAGCCTAGGTGGAAGTGGAATGTACCCACAAACAAATAGATACATTTAACTCATGTCGTCTTCTCTCTCCCTTTCTTTTTTTTTTTTTTCTTTTTCGAATTCTCATTCTGGCATCTTATGGGGGTTTGGTCATGTAATGTATGGATGGAACAGTTGAAAGGATAACTCTTACCAACCAAAGCCTGAAAGGTTGATGATGCTCCCTGACTCACCATGTCCCGACGATTTGGACGCTTTCAAGGTTGACGTGTGATAGGAACATAGGATACGCCACTGTTTAACAAGGGTGGGGGGATGATGCCATGTGTGTGTGTGTTTTATTTCGTTATGGAGAGAGACAAATTACAGCAAAGAATAATTATGAGAAACAGAGAAAGCAACATAATAATTGTGGGAAGGTGGTCTTTGGGATTAATCATATGAGCCCATTATGGTTCCAGGACTGAATTTGAAGGAGAGCCCGTCAATTTCTTTGAGAGTGAGATGGGCCTCCACACGATCCACATGTTGTAAAAGGACTAGAGGAGTTGTGACTGGAAAAAACAGGCCGCTGTAGTCTGGTATCTGAAAAAGTAACTTATTAATAAAGTTAAGTGCACTATAAAGCACAAACCGACCTTAGCTCAGTTGGTAGAGCGGAGGACTGTAGTTGCTTAACAGACATCCTTAGGTCGCTGGTTCGAATCCGGCAGGTCGGATTTTTTTTATTTATTTTGTCCAGTTTATTTTCTTGAAAGGCAGCCTCGTTAAGCAAAGAGCTTAAAAAATTTCTATTTTGTCTATTTACCATTTTTATCTGTCATCCTGTGTACGAGCATAGATTTGTAAATCACTACAAACCCGGTTCAATCCAGATCTGTTGTTTATATAGCGCTCCTCACACCGACCTCATAGGTACATTTCCCATACTTATATGTTATTATTTAGGGGAGATGATCTCAATACATAGTGAGATATGCTTGTGAGGTCAATATTAGGTGTTCTTTGTGAGGAACAGATCCCAATTCTCCGGAGTTGGCAAGGGACAGTTGGTCACTCATAAGAACAAGGGACAGTTGGTCACTCATAAGGAGTTGGCAAAACTATTAGAAGATTTCAAAAACCTTTTACTAAGAATAATATAAATAGTTCGCATTCAGGTTTTCTCCTCACAAAATTGATCCTCATACTCATCTCACCTTTTACAATCGTGCATTAGAAACATCTCCCCATAAACATAGACATTCATGTATGGAAATGTTACCCTATAAGGGATGTGAGATAGGTGTAAGGGGGCCTAACTCTTTTCTCTCTCTCTCTCTTGGATCCTATTTACTAAATTCTCTCCTTCCCTTTTTTGCCATCACTGTAGGAACTATGACAATCTGATTCCTCAGTAGAGGGTATGTAGTGCGTTCCCTTTGGGGATATGGCTACTTTCATCAAATCCTTATCAGTTCTTATCGTTTCCTTTGCCTTCGAAAATCTGACCATTTCAGCCTTGTCAACTTTCTTTACAACCCTGACAAACTTGTGAACAGGAGAGTGAGAACCACATACCACTTACTTCAACCTTCAATCAATGTAGTTGATGATTCAGGAACACGCAATATATGAGGGCGCTCTTCAATATAGTGCTTTGTTTAGCTTGTGTTTTGGGTATTCATGGCATCATTAATAACTTCTCCTGAGTGCTGGTTGCAGGATTCAATTCGATTTTACATCAAAGCTGAAACAAACCAATTAACACATCAACGAGCTAGTCCTCGGTTGGTTTGTTTAGCTTGTATTTTGGTAAATGATATTTTCACCTGAAATCTTTTAGGTTGATAATACAAATTGACAAGAAATATGTGTTGTCACGTCACATGTGCATAAGAGTCATTTCACTTACAATGATTTTTCATGAACATCAATTTGATGTTTCTAAAACAGCATACCACATAAGTTCGTGAGGTATGTCTCTTTCAACTACAAAGTATAAACAACCTTGTATACCAATATTGTATTGATCAATCCAAAATATTTCTAATCAAACATAGGATTATTAGTTCATGGTATTGAACTCCATTAGTTTATTATGTATTAAAAGATGGTCATTGCATGCTTTTTGTTAAACAGTTGAAGAAGATGACAAAAGGTGAGTAAAATTTCGGCTTTGAGCTTCTTTTGACAATTAGTCCAAAACATTTAGGTTGTGTTTGTTATAGATGTGTTTGGTTGATCAACACAAATTGATGATAGATATTTTTCTGCTTTGAATTGTTTTTGTTTTGGGTTGATCAATAGAAATTAATAAGAAACATGTGTTATCACATCTTACATACATATGATCATTGACAACATTGAATGGAGTTTTCGATGTTGTCACATCACATCCGAAAGTCACTTCAATAGAAAAATGAATGGGAGTGATAATCACTGATGACGTTAAATTGAATTTTAATAACAATTTATATTGATCAAACCAAAATGTTTTAAGTAGAAACGTTATTTTCAAAATAGCTGAAGGGAATCCATTGACTTTATTAATAGTGTGTGAAATGAGTATAGGAAAATGCAAAATTACTACCATTCTGTTCATTATATTATCTATTCAGTTCGGTTTTCCTACTAATTCAATTCTACAATCATCTCTACTAATCCAATAAAACAATGCCACCTGTCTTTAAACATGTTTTATATTTTTAACTTATGCAGATAGTTAACAACTGTTATTGCCTTTCCCTTAGATATTTTTTCCTAAAAAGTTTTTTTTTTTTTGTGCACGATTTCTTTGAAATTCCTCTCACCTTCTTTCTGGTCTTGCCAGAATTTGCTATACTCACTGGACAACAAATTTTTGTCACCTAACGTCATAAATTTTCCCACTGCAATCATCTCATTATATATATGCTGATTAGGATGATCCCATCTCAGATGCCCTCTGAACCTCTCAAAACCCTTCAAATATAAGTCAATCTCTTATTCACGATGTATGAAAATCCTATATCCAATTCATGTTGAATATGCATCAATCTTGTTAATAACTTGTTTTGAACAGGTTAGAAAAGGTAGGCACCCCCTTATTTTTCTTGCTTTTACTTCTGCTTTCATACTCAACTCAAGCAAGTATAGACATTACTGCTCTGTTTTTTGCAATTGAAACAAGGAAAACTAGTTCAATCCTAAACTTCACTCCTTTGAATGGAAATCTACCACTGTATATGGAGGTTAGTAGACAACTGATTCCAAGCCTGGAATCCAAACCATAACAGTTCTATTATGAGACTCGTTCTACTAACTTTTAGACCACAACATCCCTTAATCAATCTTTGATGGTGATTTGCCTTTCCATTGAGCAGATCTTGGAATGCCATTGTGATTCCAATATTCCATTGAACTCACAATTAGGTCAAGAACACCCATATTCACTTCAGTTTTATCCCAGTAATCATACCATGGGCCGAAGATAATATCGAGCAGAGAAGAGAGAGGTAGAATCATGCATATTTTTGAAAGAGTACATGTCTAATGGAGGGATATTTACACCGTCCTTGTTATTTGCAAAGTTAAAGACTCAAAAACATTTAGCTATAGGTGGCACTATTTTATTGGATTAGTGGAGAGGATTGTAGAATTGAATTAGTAGAAAATCCGGACTGAAATTCCACCGGATTGAGGGACCTATTTGAGATTACAATATGTATGAGTATGATCCAATATTAGGTCTTGGGTCATTAAACTGACAATCTTGATCAAATTAAGTCATTCCAAACTACAAACTATTTAGTTCAGTATTTAGACTTTGACATATCGATGTATCTCCAGATCACCATCCGTCTCTGCTTTATTGTATTATAGTGCATGAATTTGAATAAACTGATCAACAAAATAGACCAAACAATGTCATCTCCATTTGGTTCAATATTTAGAAGAATTTTTCTTTTCTTTCTTGGAGTATTTTACTATTTTTGTCATGTCAAAATTAGATAAAATGAAGTGAAGTGGGTCAATGTCATTTTTGCTACTTCTGGTATGAGACGAGATAGTAAACAGAAACCTCGAATGCTACAGGTAGGGATGCAACTTGGGCGGGCTTAACCCGAGCCCGGCCCGGCCCAACCCGATTTTTTTCACAGGTTGGGTTAGATTTTCTGGGCCTCGGGTTAGGCCTGGGCTTGAAAATGCGGGTTTTTATTTTTTTCGGATTGGTCTCGGGTTGAGGTCTTGGGTAATCCGAGCCAGGCCCGATGTATTGTACATGTAGTATATAGTTGAATCAATGAATCGTATGCTTATTATGTTAGTTTAATGGTAGTTATTTAATTAGTAAATTACTAATTTAATATTAGGTGCCATGTGTCAATTGTCAATGCCATTACTCAAAGTCATTAATTAGTTTCTTAAGTTTCTTTTTCTAAATACGATTTCCCTCTTTCACTCTTTGTGTGTCTATGAGACTTTAACGTTTCAAATTCCTTTAATTCGAATGCCATTATGGCAAGTTGGCAATATTAATTAACGAAACCCAAAGGCCAAACCGCCAAAAGCCCAAGAGTCCAAAGCGAGTGAAAACTTGTTATGGCAAGTTGGCAACATTAAGGAAACCCAAAACGAGTAAAAACTCATTAGGCTGATTAAATTTTAATCTCGGGCTTTGGCCTTTGGGCTGATTAACCAATTCAAGCTTGGCATGGGCCTGGGCCCAACCCAAGTGCCTAAAATTTTAGTGCGGGCTGGACTTCAGTTGAATAATTCGGGCTTGACCTCGAGCTTGGGCTTTAGGTCCAATTCTTAAGGTTGCGCCTGGGTTGAGCTAAAACCCGGCCCAGCCCGCCCGACTTGCACCCCTAGCTACAGGTGACTACGTTCAAGTGGAAAACCCCTCCAGTAAACCGGAGAATTAGCTACAGGCGACAACATAGGAATGTTGAAGCATGTATTTCATTCATAAGCATCATCAGTCTGCACTGCATCTCTGGAGCAAATATCGATTAAAGAAACCATAGAAAAGAGAGAATGGAGTAACTTGTCCTTGGTTTAAAGAATCTTTGGGGTTGTTATGTGTTAATTAACTTGGAGTTCTCTAAATAGCTTGATAATGGTATTTAATGTACGACTAGAGTACCAGATTTATTTAAGAAGGGAATGCTTAATGAAATACGAAACTCTCAACATGGTGAATCTGGATTTTGTCTTCAAGACGCTTCAGCCATATTCCCTTGAATGAAAACATACAAGTATGGATATGTTTTCAACGCACGGCTGCAACCTGCAAGTGTTATGAGAAGACAAAATCTGATTTCCAACATGATAGGCAAAGTAGTCCCTGAAAAGCAAGAATTTTTTGGGGGAATGGACTCAAACTGATTTTTATTGAAGCATGTAGACATATATGATACACTCTAAAATGTCATACCACAAGGAATCTGTCAATGCTATGACTTCCAATGAATTGGCATGTTATATCAATATTAAAAAAAAGGTGCTTAGCTTATAGAGAATAATAAAAACACTGCACCAGAATAGCAGATGGGACATCGTAAAATAGCAGAATGCTCTTACCCTCCTAGTCCTCTGATCTTTTTTTTTTTGGTATGTCCTATTCATTGATTCATTCTCGCCTTGACTGAGAAGGAAGAAAACTAAAACAGTAACAGTTAAAATTTTGTAAATCATTAGCTGTTGAAGAACTATGCAAAATCCTTACCCAAAAAAGAAAAGGAAAAATACTATGCGATATAACTTCCTTGAAAACCTTCCAGAGTTCCAGTTGGGAGAGAATTGTAACATTGAAGTATGACCATGGTTCAGCCATGGACCAATACAAGTAGTTGATATTGTGTTGTAACAAGTCGTGTAAATTTATAAGCATTTCAGGTACATAATTGCTCAAATGTGTATCGAGTCTGGAGCATGTATTGCTTATAGAGGGCCATGATATCCTTTCACCTTTCTTCATTCAAAAATTCTTTATGCCTTGTCATTTTTGCAAGGGTTGTCAGTGCAGTGACAAACGGGTCTACCAGAAGCTTCCCATCCATTGAACCCACGTTCTAAAACGAAAATATTTTTTATGCCCGCATCTTCCTTTGTTTCCACAAGATAATTCAGAAGCTTGCGAGCACAAGATGGGCCACGCACCTGCAAAAACACCCACCATATGATTGTTATTATGATTTACAGAGGTGCCTAATAGTTTATCAAATTTAATTTCATTTCTGATAATTAAAGGGCAAAGCTCAACTATGGGAACATCGAAGAAGAACTGATGTCAATGGGCAATTCTGCAATTAACTAATATGAACATCAAGGCAGATGATCAGTGCATTCAGACTACGTTATGTTTGAATATGGTTAGAATGTTCACCACTGAGAGATGGTACATTGTGGTTTCGTCCTCCCTGAAAATAGGGGCTGTATCTCTACCACAAAAAAAGGGGCTCTATCCACCTTACTTCCTCCTCTGCAGAATGCCATCAAAGTCAACTTAGATGGTTGTGTTCAGAAGATAGGGGGCAGGTGGAGCATTCAGTAATCATACTGAAGATGTCTTGATGGTTTATTAAGTACCAATAGGCCATCCCTATCTGGACCAAAGGGTCAATTCTCAAGTGCTGATTGGGTGGATGCAGGATAAATGTGAAGGTTGTTGGTCATACTGCCACTTAGTGAGGCAAGATCTTGAGCCCAAGGATAAATATTTCATGCAGATGGAAGCAAAAATTGGCAAATGGTATAGCAGATTCCTTGGCAAGAGCAGGGGTAAACCAAGCTTATTTGTATTGGGGTCAGGCCTTTCTGGTTAAAGTTATTGGGGTTTACATGGGGCTATGAGTGGCTTATGCTCCATTGTGACTTGGGTGACCAGGGTTCAAGTCTTGGAAATGGCCTCGCTGTGTATCTGCAGGGGTAAGGCTGCATACATCTTTCCCTCCCCAGACCCTGCATTGGCTGGTGCCTTGTGCACTGGGCTACCCTTTTTTTTTCTAACTTTGGTTCTTAATGATAAAAGAACAAATGATAGGGAAGAAATCCTGAGGATGTTCTCGGGACCAATTGGGAAGGGGATTCCACAAGAGCTGAGCTGAAGGCAGTCATGTACGGTTAACAGAAAGCTGTGGAGTTGGGCAGTCAGAAGCTGATAATTGAGGATGATTCTAAAGTAATCCTAAGCTGGTTGAGAAAAGAGGAAAAGAGTCCATGGTGCTTCAGAAACGAGATAAAAAAAGTTTAGAAGGCTGTCAAAAGATATGAAATTAATAGTTCTTTGGACTCCAAGGTCAGCTAACACTCTTTTCTATGGTTTCTTTGGACTCCAAGGCTGTCAAAAGTTTAGAGGGCTGTCAAAAGATATGCAATTGACAAAAGGGGTAAGCAGAGAATAGTCTTTTTGGGCTGTCAAAAGTTTATTTCTGTTTTTTTCTGTTGTAATCTTAAAAAGCAAAGTCAATAAAATCTCTTTTTGTTTTACTGATAAAAAATGATAAAAGAACAAATACAATAAAAAATGTGGTCCGGCTAGTAGAATTTGTTGGGTGCTATAGTAGCTGGAGTTTTGAGAGTTCTAAGATGGTTTTTGTTTTGAACCCATGAATAAGAAGAAATCTGAATAACCGGGGGGGGGGTGTCAATGGTTCTAGCCATACTACAAGATTAGCAACTGCCCCAAATCAAAGGAATAATAGAATTTGGATGTAAGATGCATCTGAAATTTTCCGAGTACATTCTTCTTTCAGTAAGCTGAGTTCCAGCAGGCTGGGATGTGATCATTCCAAGTAATAAAATCCAGTTTCCTCATGTACTTCTTCAAGGTGGACTTTATGGTTTGGTCAGCAATGCCAGGTAAATGTCTTAAAGAGGTGAATAGGTCTGTCTGACATGGGCTGTGTGCTAAATTCTTTCTTTTTTTTTATTGATAATTGCAATACTTTTATTAAGTGGTTGAAAGAATATTTTATGTACAAAGTAATGGAGGTAAGTGTGCTTTAAACCCCTTGAAACAGTAAATTAGCAAAGTACCACCTTTCTCATACAATCAATTACCACTTGAAACAATAGGCTGCTAAATTCTTGCTTGCTGGACACGTCCTATCATCCTTTTCCATTGCCATTCCACTGCAGCTCTTTGGGCTCATCTTTGGAGTTTCCAGGCCTCAGTGGTACTTTAGATAATCTTATTCTGGGTTGAAATTTAAAATGTCTTAATAAAAGGGGGTAACAACATCTCCATCTATGATCTTATGGATGCTATGGTGCAAAAAGAACTTTGTTTTTGGGGAAAAAAAGACAGTCCTGATGAAAGCTATGAAATCCCTTAGATCTTGGTTGCTGGTGCAGTAGGATTTCAGGGAAGTCTCCCTTGCCTCTTACTTTAATTTTTATCTTCTTTTCGGTTCATATTAGCATGTAACTTTTGTGCAATTCAGCCTTTTGTAAGGATCCTCACTGTACAGGGGTTTTCATGTACATGTCTACCACACTTTTGGCCTTCATAATTCAGATCAACACTTGTGTTTATCTTCTTATTATTTAAAATAATAATAGTTTTTCTTGGTTATATGCATTTTGTTGCTTGAAGTATTTGTAATGGCATATGGTTGCCAGTTGCCTCATGGCTAATGATGCATAAATAGAAATTTGGTATAAGATAAAATACCAAATTTGAACAACACTTGTGTACATGTCTACCACACTTTTTGTTTATCTCTAATTATTTAAATAATAATAGTTTTTCTTGGTTATATGCATTTTGTTGCTTGAAGTATTTGTAATGGCATATGGTTGCCAGTTGCCTCATGGCTAATGATGCATAAATAGAAATTTGGTATAAGATAAAAGAAGACTGGAGGAGTTCTTCTAAGTTTTTTTCAACCAGTAGTGTAGGTACAGAGTTGCCACGAAAAAGGAGCGTATCAAATAGTCAAAGGTCACACTTTTCATTGAAAAAAGGCCGTAACTTCCTATCATCCAGCTTTCCTTTTTATGTTTACAAATTAGAGATTGTAAACTAATTGTTATGAATAATTCTTTTATTGTGTATTTGCAATCTGTTTAACTTATATATGAAATTGATATCTAAGAATTTAGAAAACGTCTTTTTCTGGTTGGCTAGTTGGTGGCTGGTTGGCGCCTAGGCACCGTGTTATGGACGCCTTCCTCGGGAAGACGTACCATCGCCGCCGGCAGCAACAGGCA